TTTTTTTCTAAACAAATTAACAAATTAATTAAATAAATCAGATTATTTCATAATTTTAATTTTAAAACCCAAATAATTTTTAAAACCCATTAGCCCATTTTAATTTGCTCATGACTACATGACTATTCGAATTTGCTCATTAAATTTAAAGCTTTCGAATGAGATAAAATTCTAAGACCACTTCTCTCTCGTGAAACCCTTAGCAAAATTTTCAAAACACTACATAATTTACTTTATGTAGTGTTGCTGTAATATTAATATCTACTTTTTGGTATTCGTAGGCATTAAATTAATCTTATTGAACAACTAGTTATTTATATGTTTTTGAATTGGGATACGTTAATATGTAAAATTTACGAATGAAATGTTATTAGTTGTATTTATGTAGTGTTGCTGTAAATATTAAAAAAATTAATTATGGTACGGAACCGAACCCGAACGGTTCCATAATTATATTTGGACCGGACGGTTCCATTTATATACCCGAAAGTTTTGGGTCGGTTCAGTTCATGGACAGCCCGAGTTTCATCAACTACCCCTCCCTTGTATGCTTTCTTAAGTAGGAACATAATCAATTTTTCATAAACATCAAATTTCTCTTTTTAGAAGCCTACCCAAGTGTACCTAGAGAAATTATCAACAACCACATAAATATATCTCTTAGCACTGAGGCTTTCAATCTGAATTGGCACCATCAACTCCATATATAACAATTCAAGACAGTGAGAGATAACAAGAAATTAACCTTATTTATATACATCTCTAGATTGTTCACCTTTTTGGCATGAACCACAGGCACTTTTAAGTTTTTCTATGAGTTTAGGAACTCCTCTTAGTCTAATCAAATTTGCATAGTTCAGGTGTCCCAACCGTTTGTACCACGGGTCTATAGAATCAACTTTTGTAACATGACATGAAATTTCAGAATCAAGTAAAATTATTTATCGTTAGACCTAGCACCACATTGGACACAACCACAATCATTTTTTAGTACTTTACATTACATTTTAGTTAACATTACCATAAGCTTATCGTCACAAAGTTGACCGATACTAATCAGTCAGCAACAAATATCTCATTTTTCTAAACAGGTAATCTATATATCATAATCGTACCAACATACCTCAATTTTACTTTGGACACCATCCCCAAAAGTCCTGCATGACTTCTAAAATTTGTTAGCATAGAACGGCTACCGGTCATGTGTCTCGAACGGCTACTATCAAAATACCAAGAGTTGGGCACGATAGATTTTTAAGCTATTTTAACAGCATAGGAACTAAAATCACTTTTTCTTACTTAAACTTGCCTTATTCTAGCTTTAGGATTTTTCTTTAAAGTGCCAGCTAGCAAGTTAACTCCTTCTATTTGATTTTTTTTTGTGATAAACAGAAAAGTAAATCATGTCCATGCTGACCACGGAAACTACATCTAATAGTTTGTTGTGACCTACCTATCTTATTGTGAGAGTGAAGTTTTACTTGATTACCTAATGGCATAATCTAAATCAAGTTTTTAGAGATAGTCAGAACTTCTTGTAGAGATTCATCCATTGATACTATTCTATTGTCAGCTGTGCTATCTGGTACTTTGGCTGTACCTTCAGATGTCGGTTTATCATATCCAGCTGCTTTAACAAATATCGATTGGATGGATTCTTTCTCTTTTCATTTCTTTTCATAACCTAAGCCCTCTTTGATATTTGAGATTCTTCTATAGCTAAGAACTTCACTTCGACGAAATATTCTGATTATCAACTGTCTTGGTGTGGTCCAGTTTAGCTAGGGGCTCCAAGTCTTGATTTTCTTTTTCTTTCAGAACTTTGGGTTGAGCCTCTTTTTCAGTTGCTGCAACAGTCCTTTCTTCTTCAATAAAATTCATCATTGGAAAAAGTGTAACATTATTTTCTTGTTCAGCTTCCAGATTCCTTTTCAGTATTCTGCATTCTAAACATACATTGCTTAGTCTGGCTGTCTCTATACAGTGAGTTTGTACCTCCAAGCAATAATTGCATCGAGTCAGCATCAGATTGAAAGTTAACGGTGAATGAGGTTACATGGTTATCGTATGTTCTTCCCTCCTCATCTGAGTTTGATTCTCTATCCTCATCTTTGCTCCATGTTATATTTATTTCCTTCTTAGACCGAGACTTCTTCAATGTGTTTGCACATTCATAGGCTATATGTCCAAATCCTTCGCATTCATGGCATTGAATACGATTTTAATTTCTCTCCATAGATGAAGTAAGTTTTTATCTTGAATTGTTAAAGAACTTTTTCTTCAGTTGATGTTGAGATTTTGAACTTTTTCCCTTTTAATTGCTCTTTAGGAATTTCTTAAACTATTTGAAGAGCATGGCCATGTGCTCATCACCCTCACTTTCTTCATCTCCTTCATCCTCTTTAACCTCCATGGCTTTGAAGGCAACGCCGAACCCTTTTTCCTTCTTTAACCTATGGATATGCAACTCATACATCATTAAGAATCCAACCAGCTATTCAACCTTTATGTTTTCAATGTCTTTACTTTTTTCGATGGCACTCAATTTGGAATGAAATCTATCAGGTAGTGATCTCAGTATTTTCTTTATATTTACTTTCAATATAACTCTTTCTTAAAGTGTACGCCGAGTTGGTAATGTCATTGAGCTTGGTATAGAATTTCTTGAATTGTTCATCATCTCCCATAACCAATTAATTGTTCAAATTCAAAAGTTAGCACATTACAATAAAAATAGCCTTTTGCAACGTTCAAAAAACATTGTCGAAGACCTTTTACAACATCATATGTTTCAAAGCTCGATGTTGCCGTAGAATAGAACGATAGGCAACATTTAACATTTTTGAAATGTTGCAAATAACCTTTTGCAACTTTTTTTAACGTTGCTAATAACCTTTTTGCAGCATTTTTTGAACGTTGCTAATGACTTTTTGCAGCGTTTTTTTGAACGTTGACCTGAGTTTTTTTTTTTTTAAAAATTATTTATACAAAATGATTGGCAAAATGAACAAATTTTGGAATTGCATAAAACTTGATAATTTTATCACAAATTTTTAAATTCATACACTTGAATATTAAAATGTGATACAACACCACCTAAATCCATACTTTATTTGTACAATTCATGGTCATATTAATTTTCCTCTATAATTTTTTCATCTCCACAATCAGAAACCTTCTTCAAGCTCCTACCATCTCTAGTGGAGAATAGGTGATTTGCAAAGGTTCGACTTTATGCTTTCCGTGTTTTGGTTGATGCCGTGACCAATACGCATGGGCTGCTAGGACTCTATCCAACAACTCCTGTGGCACAGGCTCTCCCCTTCGTTGCTGACGAGCTATGCTTGCAGTATGAACTAGGGTCTTCCATTTATCCTATAAACAACCAAAACCCGCGTTAGACGTGCAAAGTGATGATTATTGATTCGCCAATCCAATAAAGTAAAATAGTATTAACCTATCTGTCCCATATGATTGTTCACTGGTTTCTTATGCAATCATTTAGCACCCTATCAATATTATATAAGCCTAAAGCATACGGAGCATGTTAAAAAGAAAGCGCCAAATATAAAAGACAAAAATGTATATCATATCAGACACGAGATCTCAATTAAGATACCAAGTGAGAAAAAGGTCCCAAAACATAAGCACAATCTCAAATCGAATACTGTTTAAATGATATTTCCAGATAAAAGTAGATTATGGATATACCTTCAAGTCCACATAAGTTCTGTGATCTGCATCCTCAAATGCACGCATTTTAACATTGCGACACCTGCAAAAGTAAAAGAAGATGAGAATTTCAAATTCCCTGGGATGGATAAGGAAAAAATCATAATATGTTCTCCCCCATACCACAAATATTTTTATTTCATGGTTCCCAAGATCCTACACAATATTCTTACCTTCCAGTTCTAAGTTTTTCTACTGCTTCAACCAGTGCTTCCACTTCTGTCAAAGAGAAGGGTATCCTAGTAGACTGAAAAATAAGATACATGATTAGTAGGACATAGTATGTCCATATGTTTTCATTTTTTTTTATCATTTGGGGCCATCTAAGGTATCATTTGTAGAAAACTGTATTTTTAACTTATCCAAAAATGAGCTCAGTGAAATGAAAATATTTTTGTGTCCCTATTCTTTCATTACTTATGCCGATAATGACGTACAATAATTGAGAAACAAGTCATGGAGTTTTGAATTTAGTATCAAGATGAGTAACTGTTATCCCTGGGGAAGCTAAGCAAAGCACATCTGTTGAAGAAGTAAAGATTTCTAAAATCAAAATCATATATTTCTTTCTGGCATGTTCTAATTAAACTCCAAACAAAAAATAACAAGGCTCAAAACATTACAGTACCTGGAGGATAGTAGATCTGCATCACATTGTAATACCAGAGGAAGATCATTTGGAGTCCTCTGTCCACAAACATGTGCAAAACTTGGCTCCAATGCGAAACCAAGTGAATCCAGGTTGCTACTTTGAGAAATACCAGCGTGCTGAAGAGTTCTATTGTCATCTCTAACCTTCTTCCCTTGAAGAACTACCCCAACTTGTAGTCCACTTCCAAGAATAGCAGTAACTACCTCCATGACCATCCTCTGTGGCCAAAAAAAGGTTAGAAACTTGCTGACTTAAATTAATCAAAGGGATTGACTTTGCAAATTCAAGAACTAAAGCCACAGATACTAAGTACAGGTACTGGGTAAAGCCACCAGAAAATCGATCTAAAGATAAGAATGCATGTTAGAAAATCAGGAAAAAAAACCTAAATTTCAGATTTCATACATTATATGAAATGAATAACAACAATGAAAGAATGCAAACCTTCAGAGAACCAACGGTAGCAGTTTCAGGAACCTCAATGTAAAGTTCTGGCACCCTGAATGACTTGATGCTAAATTTCACTGAATGAAGGGAAAACACACGTGTTAGAACTTCTTTGAACCAAACATATACGTAAAGATGAAAAAGCAAGTGTATATAAATCCTTATGAAAAAGAATCTGGTACCCTTTGTTGGAGGAAAGAGGGGTTTACCAACTTGATTTGGCTAAGACTTGATAGGAAGGACAATACTAATAGGAAGAGGTAAATAAAATGTAACTTATATTTCTCAACTTCAACACTTACAACACTTGACTTGACTTGTTGTTACAAAATGGAGGGACTCTACCCCTTTATATAGGGCTTACATGAGACTTCTAGACCACACATTAATCTAGAGAATTCTAGTCCATAAATTTTCATGAGGCTTCTAGATTTCATATTTGGACTAGATATTTTCCTAGAGTATTCTAGGTACAATGCATATTTATCTATTACTTAGATATTTACATGGGTCTTTCTAGAATATAATTCTAGAAAATGCTAGACTTTGTTGGGCCTTTGAATTGGGCCTATGAGCAAAATTCTTAAACTCATATTACTTACTCCAAAATCAAGTTTACTTTCCAACATCCCCCCTTAAACTTGATTTTGCTACTCCAAGTAAAGTTCTTAGGTTGCGGAACACGTCATGCTTGAGTGGCTTAGTGAAAATGTCGGCGATCTGCTCTTGAGAGGTTACATACTTCAATTGCACCTCATTCTTTGCAACGCTCTCTCTTACAAAGTGATACCTTGTATCGATATGCTTGCTTCTATCATGAAACACTGGATTCTTTGCCAATGCCAGTGCTGATTTGTTGTCAACATGGATCTCAGTCGGTTCATCTTGTAAGACTCCAAGTGTCTTCAACAAGTTTCTAAGCCAAATTGCATGGCAAACACTTGATGTAACTGCAACATATTCAGCTTCACATGTAGATAGCGCCACGATCGATTGCTTCTTCGAGCTCCAAGTGAATGCAGTGTTGCCCAAGTAGAATACATATCCAGTAGTGCTCTTTCTATCGTCAATGTCTCCGCCCCAATCACTATCACTATAGCCAACAAGTTTGAATTCATTAGATGATGAATAGATTAAACCATAGTCAAGCGTACCTCTGATGTAGCGAAGAATCCTCTTTGCAGCTTTCATATGGGTCATGGTGGGTATCTCCATATAGCGACTGATTAGCCCTACTCCAAAGAGGATATCTGGTCTTGTGCATGTCAAATATCTTAGACTTCCGACAAGACTCTTAAAGAGTGTTGGATCCACTTTTTCACATTCATCATACTTCGATAACTTGGTTCCACATTCGACGGGGGTGCATACAGGCTTGCAATCCGCCATGTTGAATTTCTTTAGAACTTCTTTCGCGTACCCTTCTTGTGAGATAAAGATGCCATCCTCCATTTGCCTTACCTCAATCCCAAGATAGTAGGCCATAAGACCGATATCTGTCATCTCGAATTCTTGAGCCATGGCCTTCTTAAACTCAGTGATCATGCTTAGATTATTTCCTGTGAATATAAGATCATCCACATACAAACAAACAAGCAAGATATCTCCTTTCTCATTTACCTTTGTGTAAAGGGCATACTCGTGAGGGCATTTTGTGAAGTCATTTTCTAGAAAATACTTGTCAATTCTACTATTCCATGCCCTTGGAGCTTGTTTCAACCCATATAAAGCCTTTTTGAGTTTTAAGACTTTACCTTCATGCCCTTTTATTTTATATCCCATTGGTTGCTCCACATAAACTTCTTCTTCAAGATAACCATTTAGAAAAGCTGATTTCACATCCATTTGAAAAATCTTCCACTTGTTTTGCGCGGCAAGAGAGATAATTAATCTTATGGTTTCTAAGCGAGCAACAGGGGCAAATACCTCCTCAAAATCGATCCCCGACTGTTGGTTGTAGCCTTTGGCAACCAATCTTGCTTTGTATCTCTCCACTTCTCCTTTAGCATTCTTCTTTATCTTGTACACCCACTTGACTCCGATTGCTCTTTTTCCTTTGGGAAGAGTCGTCAGCTCCCATGTATCGTTTTTCTCAATAGCTTTAATCTCTTCATCCATGGCATATCTCCATCTTTTATTTTGCGCTGCTTCTTCATACCCTATTGGCTCACAATCGGCAAAAAGACAAAAAAGTGTGAGATTATTTTGATTCTCTGTTACCTCATATAGCTCTTGTAGGCTCCTCATCCGTGGTGTCCTTTCGCTTGAGCTTTCTCCTTGTGAAGATACTGGTGAAGCATCTCCATGAGCAGGTGATAGAGGTGGACTGGTAGGCTCTTGCTGCTCTTCATTCTCTTGTTCTTCTTCCTCAAAGAATGGCAAGAAGTCGTAGTCTTCTTCTTGGACACCCCAATCCCAATCTCCTTCTTCATTGAACTCGACGTCTCTACTTATGATAATCTTCTCCTTGCTTGGATTATACAGTTTGTAGCCTTTGGAGCGAGAGTCATAGCCGATAAAGACATACCTTTCACTCTTATCATCTAGCTTGGACCGCTTTTGATCCGGCACATGAGCATATGCAATGCTCCCAAATACTCGCAGGTGAGAGATACTGGGCTTCCTTCCACTCCATGCTTCTTGTGGTGTCTTATTCCACACACTTCTAGAAGGAGATCGATTAGATAGGTATACAGCGCAATTAACAGCTTCGGCCCAAAGTTCTTTGGGCAATCTCTTGCTTTTGAGCATGCAGCGGGCCATGTTAAGAATTGATCTATTCTTTCTTTCGGCTACTCCATTTTGTTGTGGAGAGTATGAAACCGTTAATGGGCGACGAATTCCATTTTCTTCACAATATTTCTCAAACACTTTGGAGGTAAATTCTCCTCCTCTATCCGATCTCATGGCTTTTATGCTATAGCCACTTTCCTTTTCAACGAGAGCTTTAAACTTCTGGAAAGTTCTAAAAACTTCCGATTTCTGTTTGAGAAAATAGACCCAAGTCTTTCTACTAAAATCATCAATGAAGAGAACAAAGTAATTGTTCTTACCGAGAGAGCTTGGATTGATTGGCCCACAAACATCTGCGTGTACAAGTTCTAGCGGCTTCTTAGCTCTTGTAGATGCTTCTTTTGGAAAACTTTTCCTCGAATGCTTCCCAAGTAAGCATCCTTCACATAATTGATCCGGATGATTTATTGGAGGCAAACCTTTTACCATCTTCTTCTTACTTAACAACTTTAAGCCCCCAAAATTAAGATGCCCAAATCTTAAGTGCCAAAGCCAAGATGAATCTTTAAAACAAGCTTTTAAGCATTTAGCAACATCATTTTGAATGCTTAATGCAAACATTCTATTTCTTGTCATAGGGACTTTAGCAATCAGATTTTTTCTTTGATCTCTTATTGAAAGACTATGATCTTTCAAATAAATATCATAGCCCTTCTCTAAGAGTTGTCCCAAGCTCAGAATATTATTCTTCATATTGGGCACATAGTAGACATTTGAGATAAATTGATGCATACCATTCTTCAAGCGAATCAAGATTTTACCTTTGCCTTTCACGGGGATCTTCGATTCATCTCCAAAAGTAATATTGCCGCTTACCGATTCATCGAGCTCCACGAACATGTTTCTTCTTCCGCACATATGGTTGCTTGCTCCCGTATCCAAGTACCAAGTGTTTATTTCCTTGCTTTCTTCACCTTTGTATGCCATCAATAGTGTAGGATCCACTTCATTTTCTTGACTAGCATAGTTGGCTTTCTCCTTGACTTGGTTATTACCATTTCTACATTCTAAAGCATAATGGCCAAATTTTTGACAATTGTAACATTTAACTTGAGATTTGTCATACCTTGGCCTTTCATTTTGCCTCGTACCTTTTCCTCTTCCATAACCTCTAGTGGAAAACGAGCTTAGGCTTCTTTCCTCCTTGTAGAATGCACTTCTTCCTTGATTTTGGCCCCGTCCTCTTCCTCTTTGGCTTCTCCTACTGCTGAACTTTCCTTCACCCTTGTTCAAAGTGAGGTTTGTTTGAAGAGCTTGCTCTAATGGCTCTTCTTTCACCTTCTTCTTTAGTCTTTCCTCATGGGCTTGTAAAGATCCCATGAGTTGATCGACACTCATACTATCTAGATCTTTAGATTCCTCAATGGCTACAACTATGTAGTCAAATTTAGAATCTAAAGACCTAAGTATCTTCTCAATTACTCTAGTGTCACTCAACTTTTCTCCATTCCTCTTTAATTGGTTCACAATGGCCAATACTCTTGAAAAGTAATCAGATATTGATTCCGATTCTTTCATATGTAAAGCTTCAAACTCACCTCGAAGTGTTTGGAGTCGAACCTTTTTCACCTTCTCAACTCCTTTGTGGGAGTTTTGCAAGATCTCCCATGCTTCCTTGCTCGTAGTAGCACAAGCTACTTTCTCGAACATGCCTTCATCTAAGGCTTGATAGATGAGGGTGAGCGCCTTATTGTCCTTCTTCCTTGCATCCTTCAAACTATCCCTTTGTGCTTGGGATAGAGTGACCTCGTCATGTGGCTCCGTGTAGCCTTTCTCTACGATCTCCCATGCATCTTGCGACCCGAGCAATGCCTTCATCCTTATGCTCCAATTGTCGTAGTTATCCTTGTTAAGTTGAGGGACTTGAAAAGGAATCATCCCACTTGCCATTTTTCACAAGGACCTTAGGGCTCTGATACCAGTTTGTTGGAGGAAAGAGGGGTTTACCAACTTGATTTGGCTAAGACTTGATAGGAAGGACAATACTAATAGGAAGAGGTAAATAAAATGTAACTTATATTTCTCAACTTCAACACTTACAACACTTGACTTGACTTGTTGTTGCAAAATGGAGGGACTCTACCCCTTTATATAGGGCTTACATGAGACTTCTAGACCACACATTAATCTAGAGAATTCTAGTCCATAAATTTTCATGAGGCTTCTAGATTTCATATTTGGACTAGATATTTTCCTAGAGTATTTTAGGTACAATGCATATTTATCTATTACTTAGATATTTACATGTGTCTTTCTAGAATATAATTCTAGAAAATGCTAGACTTTGTTGGGCCTTTGAATTGGGCCTATGAGCAAAATTCTTAAATTCATATTACTTACTTCAAAATCAAGTTTACTTTCCAACACCCTTAGAGTCCTTTGATTTTTGACGAGCTTTCACAATCTGACAATCCATTTTCTGCAAGAAAATAAGAGCAATTGTATTGGAAGACTACATAACACTAGAACTTCCAAACTGTAAAATGAAGACCATAATAAATCATAATTCCCTCAAAGTTATACAAGGACGAAGAAAGGCCATGGTCCCAAAAATGCTATCAAACTAGACAAGAGAAATGTGAAATTCGTACTAAACTACCAAAGATAAATCAAAAATAGCAATCCTACTGGTTTCTCCAATGGACCACAAATTAAAGTGAAATCAGAATTAAAGAACTATATAAAATATATATTCATATAAAATATATAAAAATATAATAAAGGTACAGTCTTTATGAAGAAATAATAACTGAAATCCTAAAGTTTGGCCACCCTTATGCAGAAACTCCGATGAGTGTATCCGCTGGAGTGCGCCACCGAGCTTCCTTACTGAAACCATATTTCTAATTCTTCGGCCAACTTTGAGTGGAGGGAGGCATCAAGGGAGGGATTTTGTTGGGGAGGAATGAATGGAGGGAGGCATGAATTAGTCTAGGGTTTGGATTATTTTTGGTTTCCATCATTTGAGCCCATATATAATTTAATTTGGGAAAAAGGTATAAAACTTTTCACAACGTTCATAGTGATCTTTTCACATGGTTCAAAAAACGATGTAAAAAGTGAAATGTATATAATTTAATTTGGGAAAAAAGTACAAAACTTTTTGCAACGTTCATAAAACTTTGCAAAAAGTGATCTTTTCGTAACGTTCAAAAAACGTTGCAAAAAGTAAACATTTCGCAACAGGTACTAAACATTGTTATAGAAACAGATTTTAACAACATTCCAAAAACGTTGCGAAAAATTAAATTTTTTGAAACAATTAAAAAACGTTTCAAAAGTAATCTTTTCGCAACAGTCAATAAATATTGCAAACGGCTTTATAATGAGAGTTTCAGCAACAGGCTCTAAACGTTGTTACAGAACCAAATTTCAACAACGTTCAAAAAACGTTGCAAAAACTTAAACTTTTCTCAACATTTATAAAACATTGCAAAAGGCGACATTAGCTCCATTTTTTTTTTTAAAATGTTGCGAAAGCTCAATTATGTTAGTCAATAGCAACATTCACTTGCTAAAATGTAGCGATAGACCCCTTTAGCAACATTTAATCAACGAATGTTTGTCTTTTGTGTGTTGCAGAACAACATTTTTGGTGTAGTAGCATCTTAAGTTTTGACGATTTCAAAATGGAAGTTTCTTCATGAGATACTTTTGCGACCTTGGCTAGCTTGCATGTAGAAATCAAGCGAAACTTATTGGAATCAACAAAAGAGAAAATTTCATTTTAAGGCTTTTGAATTCCAACTTGCATTGCTAAAATCTGGAGTACTCCCACTCTTCAGCCTTCGATTTTTTTCTCATTTCTAGCTATAGTGGATATTTTATAACCATAGATGATAGAATGCCAAGCTTTTTCATCTAAGGATTAGACATGGACCTATGTCCTAATCTTCCAGTAAGTGAGTTCCTCTCGTCTAAGACATGAGGTCTAAATGGTGCTCTATTCATTTTTAGGGTTTTCTCGTGGATCACACTTTTTAAAATTGAATGCACTCTGATACAGTGTAAATTCTAAAACCTAGGAAATTAAAAATATGTTCTAGTTATTCAGTTTAAGCAGTGAAATTATCCTATAACCAATTTTTCAGCAATTTTGACTACAACGTGCAAATTATATCTATGTTCTAAGGTTTTAATTAATTGCAAAAATTAACGCAGATATTAAAACATGAACACCAAATGTAATATGGTAAATCCCAAAGGAAAACATCCATGACCCCCATACTACGGGTAAAACAATCTACTAAATCAAACGATCAAAAGTACAATAGTCTTGGTTTTGTAATTTGACAAAATTGACAAATAACAATCAAAATAAATATAAGAACAAATCCTTGTTAGGATTGATTGTCTGTTTGAACCTGTATGTTGTTTTCACGTTTTCGGCAATTAGCCTTGATATTTAAAAATCGATCAGTATATTAAGTAAGCCAATAAAAATAATATATAAAAATATGTTTCCAACATTATGTTTAAACAGATTCATTATCAATTGAACATCAATTTTAATAAAACAAAACTACGTGAAATTTTATACCAAAATTCTGAACTGATAAAATTTTAAATAGAAAATAAATTTCATTATGTGTGTGTGTGTGTGTTTATATAATAAGAGTAACTATAAGAAAATTGGTTGTGAGGCGTCGTCTCTTATCAACTCATTGTTTTCACTTGGTGTGCGATAAATTTTAAACATATATATAAATGTGTGATGAAATTGAGAAACTTCTGGTACTAGGTAAGGATATATTTCCTCTGGATTTGAAATATGAATTGATCGAGCGAGACCCGCAAGCGTACAGGTTTGTTAACAAGTAATACGTGATGAATTGAATATCGTCTTATAAGGAATAAATTCTAATTCAAGTGTATTAGTATTTTATCAAATTCAAGTTGCAGTAAAACAAAAGAGATTTGTTGGTTGTAATTATTATAATTTATTCTAAGAATTATGTAAAAGCATTTGTTTGTATCAAATTATGGAATTATTATATTAGATTTAAAATCCACCTCTTGCTATCTATTTTCAATTCTCAATTATATAGTTTAGTGTTTATATTCATGACAATCGATAATCCTATTGTATTTAACTTTCTTTTCCAAAAAAAGTTAATTGTATTCTAAACGTAACTCTGTTCTATTCTTAAAAAATCATGTGGTTGAATGCGTGCTATATATTAAGAGATTGCACATGCCATACATATTATTCTTAACATCTATTACTCGTATTAATCATACAGTGTTCTAAACCTATTGTATGTTTCTCAATACTATAACAAGCAACTAATTATTTAAATAGTGTGCACGCATTTAGATCATGCAACGAGTATGCAAGATTAATCAAGAAACATAAGAATTACTAAATTACTTATCTTTGAATTAAAAACAATCAACAAAATTTTCATCTTCATCCAGTGTAAGGGAATCTTGCCTAGCATATTTATAAATATTTTATACAAAAAATTATGTAAAGACATCTCCCGAATCATAGGACAATAAAAGAATCTTGATGGAGAATCAATTTCTTGGTCTTAATCTTTAATCCACGCCTTGAATTTTAAAATTCTTGTATAAATTGTCTTCGATGCCTTGCTAGTTTTGATCTTCTCTCCAAAATGTGTGGACTGGTCCATTGTTCTTCAATAATTTTATGATATGGATGTGAATTGAGAGGCTAGAGAGAGAGATCATTTAATTTTTTCCTTGTTATGTATGTATAGCTGCCGAAAATTAGGTTTAGATCACGTCCAAATTTGGTTACAAAAGGGTTATGATCGAATAGGAAAGCTGACCCATCTAGTCCAATTTCCACTGGCCAACTGTATGCTTGCACATGGAAGGCCAAGTTTGGCCTCGAGTTGTTCAAAAAGGAGGTTTGCATGCGCAAGGTACTTCTACCATGTGCACGCATGGTATTAAAAGTTTGGGACCAACTGTATGTTGGTCTCTGAATTTCCTCCGGGGCATTTTTAGCCATTTTATCGATGCAATTTTAATCCTTTGGCCTCAAATTTCATCCAATTGATACAGTATGCTCTTCAATCATCTTCGTTCAAATCAACTATTGGATATTTACAATTTGGACCTCGAACATTGAAATCTTTAATTTCCACCCATTTTCATTCATTTCTTCCAATTTCACTATTTTGTATTGAGTTTTACCTAACAAATAAAATATATACAAAATTAAGCCATAATTCATCAAAATCAAAAACAAATACTCTAATTTAATGATACAAATAAGTCTACAAAATACACTTATCATTAATCAATCTTGTTATTTGCATACCTTGATCTTCTTAGCAATCATCTCCTTTAGAAAGCAAACTCGTGCTACGAGAGCCTGATATTCCAGTACCGTTTTGTGGCCTTAAAAAAATCAAAGTATAGATTGTAGTTGAGGTTTTGCCTTTCTATGCTTACCAACTTCTGATCCAGCTTCGTGGAATTAACCATCAAAAAAAAAGTTTCCAAGCTGGGACATTAGGGAATTCGCGATAGAGTCAAGTAAGGTTTGACCTTAGTTGTTATCCTAACCTTAAAGTTGATATTGATCTATCCTAGTTCAATTGCTCATTTAATGAGTCATCTCGACACATCGGGTTTCTGTCGTACCTATTCAAGGGACAACATTTCAACACCTGAATACTATGATTTGAGAGCTTTACTTACATAATATACTGGTAGTTGATGTTGGTTCTCTTCCCCGATCAAAATCAAACTTACAGCCGCTTCTAAAATAGCACATGCAACATTAGTTCGTTTCCAGGGATCGCTTGCGGCAGGCTTAGACAGAAGAGCATTTCTCAAGTGAGCTTTCAGTGCTAACAATGAGACTGATAAGTGTATTTTATACACTTATTCAGGGTCTAAAATAGCGATATTTGATAGTTCTTCTGACAAAATATATTCTAAATTGTTGTATTTTATGTTATATATGTAAAATTTAATAGTTGAACGAGAAATCGAAAGAAGGAAACGAAAATTGGTGAAAAAGGGCAAAATCCAATGTTTGAATACCAAATTAAAAATATTTAATAATTGATTCGGACCACAAAATGATAGTTTGAAAATTGTTAGGAGACAATTGGATGGAATTAGAATTCAAAAAGAAATGGATTATGGAATTAGGCCATTGAATTTATTGTTGGTTATTTCAATTGTTTGGGCTAAATAACACATAATGTGCAGGAACATGACGTCGCGGAATACTTAAATCAACACAGAACAAGGGAAATGCATGATTAAGAAAATTGTCGAGTCGTCACACATAATGTCTCGCACCTTCAACAGAAAAATTTGGAGAGTACCTTATTCTTCCTTTTCTTCCCCATTATATTCTTATTTATGTTTTATGACATTGAGGACAATGTCGGTTTTAAGTTTGGGGGTGGAAAAAAATTTTGAGTTTTTATTTTTCGTGTGTTTTTGAGTGTTTGTGTATTTGTTATTCGTTATTGCTTTAATATATAATACAAAAATTTAAAAAAAAATTGAAAATTGAAAAATTTCAACAAAAATATATACTTTCTTATTTTAGGTTGTGTGCTTGTGTAGATTAGATAATCTGGCAGCCAAAGATGATTAAATTTGAGATTTGGTGATGATTTATGAATTGTGGATAGGATGCATGCTAGATTGATTGAGACTTAACCTTGCAAAACTTGATATTATATGTGCACTAGAATTAAGTTGGATAGCGTGATGTTATAAGTTGATTCATATAATTGATAGGTTGATATAGTTTGACATAAATGTTTTATCCAAACCATACTAAATTATTTATCTTTAGACCAAATTTATCACAGATTGGGGGTGATTTTGCTGTTGTAGGAA